CTTCCCAAAGCATAGCAGGCAAAGCCTCAACTCTTATGCTTGAAGGTGCAACATTGTAAAATAGAAGAGAGGATTAAAACTCTAGCACCATTTTTCTTGTTTATTTTTTTAATTCAGTTTAGATCACTAAATTAGTTTTTAAAATTCCACCTTGCTCAACAGACTGCATGTTGTATAGACAAATGACAAAATAGATATTTTTTTGTCTAAGTTTCTTGATGTTATAGCCCTCATCTCCAACTTGTCTTTCAGTCTCTGAAGCAGCTAGATGCAGTTATATTCACATTGGTTTAGTTTTTCTTCTCAACTTTGTCAGCAACACATTTTTTTTATCTGCAGGTGCAACGCAACAGTGGTTTAAATATTTTGGCAACAAGGATATGCTTGGTTGCTCTGTGTTTTCAGCACTGTAACCGTTTGCAGCATCGTGTGATGGTGCTCCAGTGTGTAGCCTTGTAGTATCGCATCTTTTTAACTCATCTGCACCCTGCTCCTCTTACGGAAATGTAATAAAACTGAAACCAAAGGCAGATATTTCATGTTACATCTTTATATTAACATCTTTTTTTCTAGCAAACTGCATTCTTAATAATAAGCAAACTGATTGAAACCAAGCTGCTTTAATGATGTAGCTATAGAGGTAAGACCTTTTATTTTTTTCAGAACTGGAAACATCAGTGGCAAATTACCAGACTTTTTCCAACATGTTAAATACCGTTGTAATAAGCAAGAAAACGTGAATATGGAAGGGCAGGGTTGCTACTGGACTAGGCTGCCTGGCCTGGAGGCTGAAACTTGAGGATATCTCTAAACTGTCCCAGGACAGTTGCAACCAGGTGCTGTCATATGTGGTCTCCTAAGACTCCATTCACATTTTTGTCTGAAATTCTGAACTCGGGAACTGCTCTGCATCAGGTTCACTGAGCAGTCCATTGGCCATCAAAGTAAGAATATGCTTTGAAGAACAGTTCTTTATATACCTCTTCTGATAAAATAAATTAATTTTTCAGCTCTTAGTCCAAAACCTCCTAGTACCCAAGTGAGAAACCCATCTCGGAGTGGATATGCCATACTGCAGTGCTACTCTATAACTTCTCACCATGCTTTTTCCCAGATTCTTTTTTTTTCTTTTTTTTTTTTTTGCATGCCCCCTCACTAGCTAGATCTCTTATCACAGTTCCTGTCAGTTTATATCTTTGGGGAAAACTTTGGTGGTGTTATGACCTACTGGCTTGGAGTTGAGCTACTCCATGGGATCTGCTGCTGTGACCTCCTTAAAGGATTCTGCACATGGGTGTGGGGGGCTCATCCTAGAGAAGCCATGGGCTCCAGCAGCCTTGTTTTGCAGTGGAGGAAATCTTACACATGCTAATCACAAATACAGTTTCTCAGCAATCATTCCCTGAGGACGGGAAGAGACTTTCTGTATTTTGGAAAGAACAAATAGATTCTGAAGGACTTATGACCCTTATCAGCAGTAGTACATAAAGCACTATGTTAGGTGGTAAGAGATCTTTAAAAAATCAAAAGATTAAAAATCATCATTAGCTTTTTAAAATTATGTTAACTACTCTTCTTTCTCCCATGCTCTCTTTAGTTTTAGAAGCTGATAAGACTTTGCTGGCCTGTGTTGTTAATATGAAATCTGTGCTTGTGAAATAAAGCTGTACGTTCTTGACTGATAATTTTTAATTTCTATTTTTAGCTGAAGTTACAGTTCTTGTACTCCTAGACTCGGTGCCGATTTTATTTTTTTTAAAATTGGGAGTATTATAGATTTGCTGTGTTGCTTGTTTAATTCCAATAAAATAGCTGATAGTTGGCAAGGGCCCTAGATGATAAAATTTACCATGAAGTAAACATTTCTTTGTTTTTAAGAATAATTTTCCAAGCCTTCTGCATTATACAACAAATTGCTCTTTTTTTCCTACTTATTTTTTCTACTTGAAATGTAAGTGTTTGAACAAGTGAGAGAGTGCAGCTGTCAGAAGATTAACCAGCTGAAAACTATTGTCAGCATTAATTTTGCTCTAATAAATGACTCTCTGAAGCTATTTAGCAGTCTGTAATCTAGATACAAGGCTATTGACCTATGATGGATAGTACTGGATTTTGTTTGTAAGCTTTGACTTAAATTGTCTACTTAATTTGCTGCAGGTCAGATCACAGGATTAGTGGTAAAGGCCATTATGTGGTTTGAATAAAAATAGCTAGAGGAATGGGATGAAAATAATTGTGTTTATTAATGTAGCAGTCTTTGTGGTCATGTACATTGTAAACTGGTAGCCAAGAAGATGACAGTGACAATGTGTTAAATTGTAGGCTCTAAATGTAGGCTTTGCTCTTAGCCCAGTTCCCGTGAGTTGGCCAGAGAGGAGTTGTTCAAGTGAGATTAAAGATTGGCTGCAAATAGGGTGTCTCTCAACCCGAGCAGGAAGATCTTTACCACCGTAGATCTTTCAGTGCCTCAACAGTGTTGTAAATAGACACTTGATTTTTTTTAAAGCTGTGAGTCTGACTAAGTTCTCCTGGATACTCCAGTTCTGGACTCACCAGTACAAGAAAGATATGGTTTTACTGGAGTGTCTCCAAGTAAGGGCCATGAAGATGATGAAGGACTGAAGCATCTTTCATATGAGGAGAGACAGAGAGCTGAGCCTGTTTAGCACAAAGAGAAGGCTCAGGAGGGATCTTATCAGTGTGTATGAAAATGTGATGGGAGAGAATGAAGAAGGAGCTACATTCTTCTCAGTGTCCAGTGGCAGGGCAGGAGGCAGTAGCACAAATTAAAACACATGAAATTCCATCTGAAACACAAAAAACCACTTTTTTACTGTGAGGGAAGTCAAACACTGGAAGAGGTTGCCTAGAGAGGCTGTGGAGCCTCCATCCTTGTAGATATTCAGAAGCCGACTGAATATAGTCCTGGGCAACCTGCTACATGTGACCATGCTCAAGCAGGGGAGTTGAACTACGTCATTTTGAGAGGGCCCTTCCAACCTCAACAATCCTGTGATTCAAGGTTGTTATATAAGTTGATCAGCCACTTCATCAATGGGAGCCTCTTACCACTGTTGCATATTTTTGCATAATTGGTAGGTTACTATTTTTGAGGCCTTGATTTGTCAATTTTGTCTAAAATTATTCAGTGAATTCGTAAGATGGTGCAGGTTGGAAGGCAGGATGGGGAAGAAAAATGCTTGACAGACACAAAGAGGGGCATTTGTATACGTAGGCACACAGATACCATGCATCAAGTAAAATTTTTAAGGGAAAGCAAACAAAAATTCTTCAGTGTGAGAAGCTGCAGTGTTGCTGTCCTTGATGTCAGAAAGGAAGTCCGGTACCACTTCATTCTTTAGCTGTGGTACAGCACTTCCATAGGCATAAGGCTTTAAGTTGAGAGAAGCCCTGATTAGCCTGCTATGGTTGCCCACTTTATCAGAACTTTTTGTGCACAAACTTGGTTGCTATGATAGCTTAGTTATGATCTTATTTTTCTCTTTCTAGTGTTTTTTATTGCATAATTTCGTTTATTAATGGGGAACAGGGAAAACAGAAACGTCCTGTTTAAGTGGAATATACATCTAACATAATAACTTTTTTTGCTATTTGAGGTTAGATTGTGTGTTTTGTTTGGTTGTTAAAAAAGCTCTACCTCCAACTTATGAGCTCTTTAAGAGTGCGTTTTCATTTGTCGCTGTGCAGCATCTAGTTTAGCGAAGGCATTTTTACACTCTGGAAACTATTTTAATAAAAACATTTATTAATGTTTATTATGGTAGCTGATTGGTGACAAAGAACTGTGAACCATAGCTGGAGAGCAACCTGACTTACTGTAGAAACGGAACAGTCTACCACATGGAAGAACAGGCTGTTTCACCTGGACATTCAGTTTTTAACCTAGTTGAGCACATTTAATTTGAAAGTAGGTCATTATCTGCAGCTGTACATCCTAACAGGACGAAGTTTGATGCATAGCACAGGAAATTTATTGTCGCTATGCTTCTTTGAAGTGAAAAATAGGGAGGAAGCCGATGTGTTCATCAGTTAGGGGCAAATTTTCCTTGCAGTTCTACCCATTCCGTGTCGGGAATGAGGAGATTAAGGATGTATGAGTAATTCATATTAGAATTAGGCTTCTTTTAAGGAATAGCATATTTCATGGAGGTGATAAATATCACATGAAAAAATTGCTGGTTTTGTGCTTAGGAACTGTATAATAAAAAACCTATGCTGTGTACTTACTGATCTGTGGTAAAGACAGGACAGACGTAAAGGTATAAAGCTGGGAATAGTGTGTTTGTGTATGTGTGTGAATCATTTGTACATTGCTTTTTACATAGTTCTTTACATACTTTTATATATGTTAAGTTTATGCGTAGGAAACTAACTCAAAATTTCTCAAATTAAGTAGAATTTTGCTTCAGATTAGAAACATAGTAAACCGCAGAGATTTAGAGGGCTTGATTTTATAAGCCCGTGTTTTCAGATGTTCAATTACATGAAAACCAGGAAGCACTGATAAAAATCAACCTAGGTTTGGAAAAGCTGATAAAAGCAGTGTTAACTTTGAGCAATAGTTTGTCACTAGTTGTATACAAAGAGCAGTTTGACAAAACAGAAATTTTGTTTAGTAATTCAGATACAGTGAATTTTGTGGGGTGCAAAAGTTGTAGGAAGCATTGATTGTTTCTTCATATGGAACTATAAAGATTGACATTGCCAGTTTTCTGTAAGTCTTGTAAATCGTTTATCTGCCTGTATTCCTGAAAGAGAGAAGGTGGCTTTATCTTCATCAAATGTTTAAGAATTAAGATCTCTGTTCCTGTGAGTACTGCGACTATAGGCTTACTTTTACATAAACTTTGAGAGGTTCATCATAAGTGAAGTATTAAGCACATAAATTTTACCTCATCAGATCCTTACTAATAACATGAAGTACTTAAGTTTTCTGTAAAATATTGATATTCAGTCCAGTGTTGTCTTGGTTCAGGTGTTGGAGCTGCTAGAGCTGGAAATCTTACTTTCATGGTTGGTGGAGTGGAACAAGAATTTGATGCTGCCAAAGAGTTGCTGACATGCATGGGTTCTAATGTGGTCTACTGTGGAGAGGTTGGAACTGGACAGGTAATGCTTCCTGAGGGTTTACTAATTATCTCAGTCTTTTGGTTTTTGTTGCTTTGGTTTTCTTTAATTTTCTTTCTTTTCCTTTCTACTATTTTATTCCAGAATTATATGCATGATTATATATCTTCATTTTTTTTTTCTTATGTACTTATCTTTGACCATGTGTTTATACAATAACCTCACGGCACTCTCCTCCAGCATGTTGTATAGCTTAGCACCAAAACATTTGACCTAGTGCTTCTCCACATTGGCTCCTTAAGATTATACTTCTTAGAGGACACAGGTTTAAATTTTGTTACTTCTAAATTTAGTTTTACTGAATGTTCTGAAGGACAAAAAGCCCCTGCATGCCACATATACTAACTGAGCTTCTGTACCAAGAAAAAAAGTATTTCCTAGTCTCCGAAGGAACCACATGGCAGCTTTCATTGACTTTATACTATTTTAGATCTGTGCTTAGTGGTGCTACCTTTAGAAGAGAGCTGCCTGAACGTATTTGATCATACTGTCCCGGACCTAGTAAAAAAAATTCCTACATGGAATTTTAGTTCTATGCAAAGGCAGAAACTAATTGACTGTTTAACTTATTTTCAGGCTGCAAAGATCTGCAACAACATGCTCCTGGCCATCAGTATGATTGGAACTGCTGAGGTTATGAATCTTGGAATCAGGTTTGTTTGATTTTTGTATTGGATTGAAGCATTTTTTTCTGCGTTAATAGTTTTTGTATTTTACAGTTGACCATTAACATGCTAAAGGGATTATTTAACTAAAACAGAGCTCTTCAGAATAGGACTAGTCTCTTGTATTGGCTGTATAGATCATTGCATTCTGCATCTGAAGTTAAGAGTGTATTTGTTGTGCTGTAATGCAATGTACAATAATGTTTGTCTTGCATTGTAAGCATCCAGAAGTAACACAGTTGAAACTTTTTGTATGTATTCTAAGCCAACGTACAGTGTATTCAGACTGTTATACTACAGTATGGCTCTTGTTGGCTTTGTTTACTTTGTTATATGGTTCCAAAATATATTATAAAGTAAAACTTCTGGTACAGCATGTATATAAAAGTAAGTTCAAAGCATGAAAAAGAACATCTACCTTCCTGTTCAACTTCACCACTGCAGTTTGTTCTAATTGCCAAAACTACTTTGTCGAAAAGCTGGAGTATACGCCACTACACTCTTGTCAATGCTAAGAACACCTCTTTTAGCAGGCGATGCATTTGACTTGTAAGTGGCAACATATTTGAACAAAGTTATTTTTCCTTTCCCATTGTAACCTGTTTATTTTGCTGTGGTCTTTGGCATGCTATTTTGTTTTCCAATAGAATGCATGCAAGTACCAGTTCAGTATCACGCTTCATGAACCTTCATAAGTTTTCTTAGCCAGATCTAAATAATTTCCAAGTTTATACACAGAGAAGTCTTGTGTTTGAAGAGTTTATCTTGCAATTGTGTATCTTTTAAGGGCTCTTCATGAATTATTTATCTGCACAGTTGCATCTTTAGAATTGGCCTGCCAGAACTACAGATACTTATCAACTGGGCTTTAGACCGTGTGCTCATGTGGATTTGATACACTATAAAAACAGCAAGAAGGCATCAAATGCTTAAATAAATAAAAAAGAATGCCTACATGTGTGCGCATACAAGAGGCAATGTAATGGATTCACATTTCCTCTTAATTACCATATCAAGATGCAGTTGTTTTATTGAATTGCCCTTGTCTCAGATGTTAGACTATCTTGACCTATTAAGTTGTCATGTTGTAATTGAGATAAAAGAGGAATTTGCTTTGCATCAGTGCTAATTGGTTTATCAATATCCTGTACCATTTACATTTCAAAATTGAGAATCTGTAAGATACTGAAGCATGTCTGCATCAAGCCATAATAAAAACAGTGGTTTTGTATACAAATATTGTAATCCATTGTAGTGTAAAGCTTTATTCAGGTTCTATTTTAAGTCATGGTTTGCTTAATAAAGCATATGCAACTGATTTTTCATTATATTTTTAGCTACATTTGTAAGAATGATTAGAGTTAAAATTGAAGATAAAATGAAATCAAGAGGTTTGGAAGACACATATTCTGGCCATGTAAGCCCTGTGCAAAATTAGTCGATGTCTGCAGCCACTGTAGTTTGAAGGTGTTTAGAATTTTCATTTTATCCTTTTCCATTTTAAATTTTGGCTGAATTTGTATTCAGCATTTGTAAGCAAAAATCCACTGTTAAGGTGGCAACATACAAACCTTCCTAGCCTACAGTCACAGTAACCTAGAAGGAACTGTACTTAATGTAGAAGAAACCTGCTGATTGTAACCTGAATTATACAAAGAGCAGAATCTCATTTTGTGCAAAACTCCATGAGGTTTAAGACAGAGGCTGTAATTTAAAGCCTTATGAAGTAATTTAGAACCCTTGCATTGATTTTAATGTGCTATGATTTAAATCCTGGAGAAGATGACTTCTGCTTATAACTAGAATAAGGGCTTTCCACTTTTGGTGTCTACAGTTTTCTAATGTACAAGTTAACAGTTGTAGTTCTAATTATTAGAAATTTTTCTATATTAATAATTTTATTAGATTTTTTCCTAAGTCTAGGATAGCTTGGCTGCCTATTCTGGAAAGTATAGGAAGCTGAACTTGATTTATTAGATTGATGCATATCTGGTAAAGAGAGTCTGACTCTGAGCTAATAATGGTAAAGGACACTGGAAATTTAAAAAATTCATAATAGGAATTGTGGAGCTTAGGCATGTTCTTAACTTTTAGATAGAATATAAAATACCTTCATGTCATACATTGTGTATATCTGCTATATCATTTAAACCTTGCATTTTAGTGACTCTGGATAATTAATTATTCAAAATATTGCTGACTGAACTAGATGTAACTAGAAGGTGGTATTACAGCACCTTTCAGAAACGAAACCAATACTCTCAGAAAAACAGGCAGTATTGCTATGTAATGTCTGTATTTATGTTCCACTTGCTTTTCTACTTTAACGTTTTCATTTACTAATCATCTTCATTTACTAATTTTTGCTGGAAGTGTTTTGGTTTAGATTCTGTAACTAAATTTAAAGAAAAAAAAATCATGAGTTCTGACCACTGAAATGCTTGGTTTATTTTGAGTTTTTCCATTAATTTCCTGATGCTTTATGAATGTTGCTACTAAAGGTTAGAAGATGTGGCTGACATTCCAGTAATAAATTCACATTTTCATTTGTGTTTGCTTTTTTTTTAACATGACAGTGCAACTTTTCAACAGAAAAATCTTGAATAGATTTTGCTGTATCATTTTACGGATAACGTGCATCTTGCAAAAAAAAATCTCACAAAAACATGAAGCAGTGCTGTCCACAGCCATAGACTGTTTCTCTTTTTCTTTTTACTGATGATCTCAACTTTCTTTTAGTGAGCCTTGAGTTCCAGTGAAACAGTGTCTAATACTAGCAAAATAAAGCTCAGAAATGAAGTATTCCTGATACCTGGTTTGTGTTTAGGTCAGATGGCAGTTGCTGCCTGTCAGGCAGTCTGTGGTCCCTTCAGAAGCTGCCTGCACAGACTCAGGGAGGGGCTTATGTGGTGACACAAGACAGGACGAAGTTGCTTAATATGGTTGGGATATAAGGGACCAGGAGAGCAGTAAGGGCTCTATGGCAATAACCTGTTCAGCCTGGAGGAAAGAAGGCTTCACAGAGACCTTATAGCAGCCTTCCAGTACCTGAAGGGGCCAACAAGAAAGCTGGGGAGGGACTTTTTACGAGGGCGTGTAGTGGTAGGATGAGAGGTAATGGTTTCAAATTGAAAGAAGGTAGATTTAGATTAGATATTAGGAAGAAAATCTTTACTCTGAGAGTAGTGAGGCACTGGAATAGGTTGCCCAGAGAAGTGATGGGTGCCTCCTCCCTGGAAGTGTTCAAGGCCAGGTTGGGTGGGTCTTTGAGCGACCTGGTCTAGGGGTAGGTGGTTAGTGATGACCCTTGAAAACACTTACTTTATTTAAAATGCCAATAGCAGAGTGATTTTTAGCTGTGTAGAAGGGTCCTAAGATTCTGCTTGAATATTTGTAACTTCATATGCTATTTATCCGAAGCACCTTGAAATGAGAAACTCTCAACAGTTCAGCTCCTTCAGTTGTTACACCTTAAATTGAGACCAGGATGTATTGCTATCTCAATTTTTCTGTCTGTTCCAGACTGGACTCTTGGAGAAGTGTATGAAAATTTCAATACATTGTTTTATCAAAGCTCAGCAAAGCTTGTGTTTTAAGCAGTGGCTCTAAGAGATCCTATTTTAACCACTTTTGGTATGTGTGTATGTTGCTGAGTTTCTGCTGCACAGTTCATTAGGAATGTTATTGAAGAAGCATTGATTTGGGGGAAGCAATTGTTTTTGCTTTATTATAAGTACAGTTAATGCATGGACTTCTTTTCTGCTTATAAGGGAGAAGAACATTTTGGTAATTGTAAATTCACGCGCGCATGCACAGGCGCTTGCTACGTCCAATGGCAAGTTGTTATGGGGACTGGCAGACTGTCATCATTTTGATAGCTTGAGCAGTATATCTCTTGAGCAGCAATGGAGCTCTTATGCAGAGAGTATCATATGTTCCCAGCCAATTTACAGGGAAACAGCAATAACATTTTATCATGGTTGAGAGCCCAGTAGCTGCTTCCTATTAAACTTGCCCTTTCAGATACCTGTCTTGGATTAATTTGTTGATTTCAAATGGAAACTCAGTCTTCTCCACTGAAGCATGACTTTCTAGGATAGACTCTCACTGAATGACAATTACTGTATATTCTAGCTGGTTTCAGACTGTTACAAGCTTTGGGCACAGTGGAAAACAGAGGACTTCCTCAGTAACCGATTTTAATATATGTCTAATTTTAACTGTCAGTTATATATGCACCAGTGGATGAATCCTCAGAAAGATGAAATGCAAAGCACTTCTAACTTGCTCTTATTAATGATACACTTGCTGCAAAGGAGAAAAAAAAATAGGTTCAGGTCTCCTGAAGAGAATTTGCATGGTGTTTAAGAGCAACGAAGTTTGAAGAAGCAGGGATCTAAACTGACACTATCTTCCTTTTTCATTTCCTAGAGCAAAAATATGCCAGATCTAGTGCAGACAATATTTTACATATCTGTATAGTACACATACATCTTTTAAATTATACTTTCACAGAGAGGTAGTTGGAGCACTGTAAGAACAGTGTTTTTTGGGAGGTTTATATGCATTTTAAAATAATAAGCTCCCTGTCTTGCAGTGTACTTGCAGCTGTAATTACAGGCCTCTGCAGGCAGTTAGATATGGCACAAGCAGGCACTAAATTGCTAAAAATACTGATCTGGATGTAACAACGATAAGGAAGCAAACAGCCGAGAGATTTATTTTGGCCAAAACAGCAACCTCTGTGTATTTGAAAGCTCAGGCGTTGTCTGCTCCCAATGCGGGGACAGCAATAAAAGCATTTAGTTAGAGTGATTCTTGATGAAAACTTTGATGCACTATACGAGATAAAAGTACTATTAAAATACTGTGGAAACATATTAGTTCTAGAAAATACGTTTTTTAAAAAACAAATGGCAGTTGAAAGCATTCAGTTGAGTCAGAGGGCTGGAAAAAAATGGGGAGGAGAGTAAAGCTTGGTCCCATTCAGGCTAGCAGGAGACTTTCCATTTAATTCCAGGGGCTGCTGCAGCAATTCATAAATAAGACTGCACAGCAGTAATGCTAAAAAGCTGCATTTCCAGTACAGCCAGTGATCTTGCTTTGCATTAGGAGGGCAGAATTGCAGGAGACGCTTGCTGTTATGGGAACAGGAACCATGTTGTAGGACCCACTGTCTTAAATGTAGTTTTTCAAGTCCAAAATGCCTGCTGGAACAAATAGACATAAATCTTAGCAACTATTCCATTGGTAATGAGCTTTTCTCATCTACAGATTAAAACCTTGAGTTCTACAGTGCCTGGAAGCAGTGTTAGGATCCCCATGGCTATGGAGATCTGAAAAAAGTCTGTGATGTAAGAGCTAATGTAAAGAGAGTTGACTTCTGTAAAAAACCTTTACAGAAGTTTGTAATACATCCCTTTCAAATGTCCTTTTCTGATCCTGGATTGTTACTGAAGAAAATTCCTTTGCCTTCTTTTTTGTCATGTGCACAACTGAACATTTGTACTGGCCCAGATAAACTGCTGCTGCTCGTTGTTGGTATAAATGCAATTAGTGTAAAATTACACTTGCAACTTAGTATCAGTGTAAATGTGAATTCATAAGAGGGTTAATTTCCTATAATATTGAAGTACTTTCAGGGTCTACAATAAGCAGCAGTTTATGCCATCAGCTCTGTGATAGAACAAATGACGTTTCTACTTGGACAAGCTTTTGTTTTATCAGGATCAGTAACCTTATCAACAGTTGACTCAGAACTATAATGTATGTTTGCAAATAGGTAACATATGTCACAGTGAGAGGCAAACTTGCCTCATAAGCAAGAGCATATAATGAAGATGTAATGATAGCAAAGCAAAGAATGTACAGATGTATACAATAGTAATATTTTTTATAACTCTAGCATTTTTATTCACTTACTAATGCAGGATCATTTGCATTATCTTGCTTACATCAAAAATGCAATCTATTCACGTATAAACACATCACACAAGTACTTTCATGCTGCCACGCTTGCTTGTGAATTTTTTGCTTTGTTCAGCTTTAGAGAATATAATTTTGATACGAAAAACAAGTATGTGACCTAGTAGGTAGTAGAACATAGAATGCCTTTTAATAATTGAAATACAAGGGAAGTACTGTTCCCAGAGGACTTATTTTGCTTGCACTTTCAAAATTGCTGGGTGAAGGAGATTTGCTTAGTGCAAAAGGAAAAAAGCTTGAGAACCTACTGCTTAAATGGTAGATTGATGCTCTTTAATTTAACACACAGCATCCCTACCCCCAATATCAATACTCTGTCATTTTTCATGACTTATAATAAAGGGAGAGAAATGATGGTAGGGTCCTAAGATATAAAACAAGTCACCCGTGTCTTGTGCATTTTGACATTAACACTTCTCTTCCCTGACCTTTGACAGATTAGGCCTTGACCCAAAGCTGCTGACCAAAATCCTAAATATGAGCTCAGGTCGCTGTTGGTCAAGTGACACGTACAACCCTGTTCCTGGAGTGATGGAAGGAGTACCGTCTGCTAATAATTATCAAGGTGGCTTTGGAACGACACTCATGGCTAAGGTACATAACACTTGCATGTAAAGTATGTGCAGTTGCTTCTCTCTGGACTTATAGCAAATGGTCTCAGTGAAAGTTTATGATTATAGGGAAATATATGTGCATGAACAGAAGGGAACCCAGCCTCTTATTGTAGCTCTGAGTTAATGAGTTGGACAGGGAGCTTTTCCTTAGTCTCCAGCCTTTTTTCAGCCACTATTACTGCTGAGCCACTTAGTGAGATTATATGCACTATCTTTTTGAGTTCTGCCTTAATCCAGGAGTCCTGATGGACTTGTGTGTATGGCATGTGTTCAGCAAGCCATTTAGGTGCCTCTTGCATGACTGTTCTCGAGCTTAGGAGCCTAAGCTTGAGGGAGCAATTTGGGGAAATCCCGGTGGTCTAATTAAGTGTGAATATTGGCATAAGCACCTAAGATTTTGGGCCTGGTTTCTTCCAGGTACCTTAATCTGTGCTACTGGATGTGCCCTCTAGCCCTTCCTTGCTAAGCCAGTTGCTTATGTGCTTGTCATTCTGCCTAAGCCCATTTGGTATGCTGAAAGCAAACAGGTTTCAAACCACACTCCAACAGACTGATTTTCTGCACGTATCTGCATCATGCTTTGAGCAATCCTGAATTGACTTTGTTGGTGGCAGAAGTAGTGCTTCTTATGAATAATAACCTGGCAATGTAAATTGTCCACTAAGTGGGGTTTAGGTCCTTCTCAGCATGACGAAGTTGTAACCTACAGCTATCCCATCCCAGGAGAGTGCAGTTACTGCTGTGCTCTCGGCTGTTCTAGGAAAAGCGCTGTTCTGAGTCACTCTGTGGTCAGGAAAGCAAAGCTCTTAGAGGCCAGAGGAAAGTAGGCAAGGAGGTCAGGGCTGTGCATCCCACTGATGAGGACACACAGTTGGAGGAAGGAGCTATAGAGCTCTGGCTCTTGAACTACTTCTGCATTTAGCACAATGATTGCCTAAGGTAAATTATAAAACCAGCCCTGGAAGATCTCTTATCTAAGCATTTAAATGCAGGAAATAATTTCACACGGAATATTAGTTTTGTGGGGATACTGTCCTGTGGGAGGCATTTGAGTTCATGTAGGATAGGTTTTGGGCATGCCAGTTTATGAGTGCTCCCAGCTGGTTAGGCATTCTGGCCATTTTCAGTTCTTTCACATACAGTGGAAATCAAGCATTTAAAAGTAAAACAATGTTCTCAGACCTGGTGATCAAACTCAGAGATTGCAATGCAAATCTCCGCAGTGCTGGAGCTCCTGTCTGTAATACCTGCCTACTGATACTGTTCCTGTCATTTTGCAGTTGATTTATGTCAATCTGTGCATTTGTACATTCAGTAGAGTTAGCCAGATTCTGTCCAGATTGGATCCAGAGTGTTTTGCACGTAGTAGCACCAAAAACTTTTGCTGATGCTGCATGGCTCAAAACCTCTCAATGATTGGTCTGCTACATTTTACGTTTATGAACTAACAACTGGGAGCTTTCATTTCTTTGAGGGGTCTACTAAAATATTGGAAAGCAGCAGTTTTTACATCATGTTCACGTCATTGAACATAGGGGACAATAAAGCGTTATTTGAATTATTGATTTATAAAATGTGCTGGGTTATTGTTTGGAGTTTGCCTGGGCTGTTGATTAGAGATAAGCAACCTGATCTTGGCACTGCCTCAAAGCTCTTGTTTCCATCATGTGTGTTGTTTTTAGGATCTGTTCTGCCTGTTGTGCTGTGTTTCACACAGCAATCTCTGTTCTTATGATTCATAACTCTTTCTCTTGTCCAGAATAACCTCATAGTGTAAAAGTGATGAGGACACATGTTTCCTTCTCTCCCTTTTAAATTTCTTTGTAATCTTAATCTCCTCTAGAAGCTGTCTTTCAATCTTCCTTTCATTGGAGGCCAGAAGTTCCCTCTTTCATTCTCAGCACAGTTGCTAATTAAATGTCTTTATTGAATCCTGAGAAGAGTTAAATTTATATCATACTATTCTCGTCTCATGTCAAGACAGCCTTTGAGCTTTATTAGGAATGGCAGTTTATTTACATCAACTGCAAGGTAAATGTAAGGAACCAGGTATTTCCAAAGTGAGCATTGGAAGCAGATTCTGAAAGATAATGTTTCCCTATTTCAAGCTGAGAAAAAGTGGTTAGAATAGTCAGTACAGTGAGACATCTGGAAGAAGTTGTCAGTTCCAAAGAGTATGAGAGGAGCCATAAACTATGCTCTGATTTTCACTTTTCCAAAAAGGTCAGCAAAGGGCAAATTTCTTTCAGAGCTGTTTTGTGTTGTTTCACTCAAATCTCCAACCTCAAGAGAAAAGGTGCAAAATACTTCACAACCTGTAGCTAAAGATAAGCTTTACTTATATTTTGTATATTTTTCCTTCAAGTTCTAATTTACAGAATGGAGTTTAAAAAAACAAAACAACCTTCCTGCACTTCAGAGTCAGGAGTCCTTGTCCACTGAATTATTGAAATGTTGTCTGATGTTTCAACCATCTTGGAGCCAGTGCTTCATTATTAAGGTGAACAGACCTGCTTTTTGAAATTGTATTTATGCTAGCAGTCTATTCAGAATTTTCTGGGATTGCTTATGTGAATGACCTTTCAGAGAGAAATAGATCACAATCACCACTACCAAAACCAAGCACCTTCACTAGTTTGGGGTTAGATGGTTCTACCTTTCTACTATTTCATGATGTGATTTAAGCTTTGTGGAATAAAATGGATAATGTGGCAACAGGTTTCACAGAGAGGGGGTTTAGAAGAGGCTAGGAATATGTCTTGGAATATCTTATTGTAGGTGAGGTGTAATTAACTGTTCCTAGATTTGTCAGGTCATAAGTCTTTCAACAGAATTTCTAGACAAGGAGGAGTGATCTGCCCTGACGCAGATGAAGAATATTTTGGATCCTGTGACACCTGATATGTATGTTTTTCCCATTTTCCTAGATCTTGAAGTCATTCAAGGGTAATAGGAAGAGAAACTATAATTCTGATTTGTATCAGAATGACCTTTATAGAGCCGATTTACAGATTGAAATGACATTTAGAGAGTAGAGTGAGATCTTGAATTTCCTTGTGCTAATTCAAATCCAGACACACAGAAAGTAAAGACCCATCTTGTAAGTCGTCCCTGAGAAGCCAAAGGTCCTCTCAGCAGTACTACAGTCTCTCAGTTCTTCTGTGTCAAAGATTTGTTATTTAAATAAAAATAAAACCACAGAAAATTCTATAAACCACCATAGTCCTGGATGGACAGAAAATCCAGGCACTTCCTAGTAACACTTGAGAGGTTCTGCAAATTTATTGAAATGTAGACTGCAAAACTGATTTCTCTAACAAGACCTTATAGAGGCAACCTTGAGTGCAAGCATTACTTTCATACTTAGACAAGAGATCTGATAATATATCCAGGCCCTTGTTAGCTTTTCTTTCTTTGGTTGGTTTCATGTCTGATTCAACTTAAAATTCAAGACGTCCTCTAGCCTAGCTAGTCATTTCTGTCCAGCATGCATGCAGCTGACTATTTCTAGCTAACTATGGTTAGTCGTAGTACCTGGTACTTGCTTTTGAGCTCTGTCCTATTTATTTCAGATTATAGCTGTAGTTGACCAAGAACTCTTGGAGGACAAGTTTCAAATTCATCCTCTTTGCAACCTCACCTCCTTTTTTTACCCAAATTTAGTGTTTAAAAATGCAGTAGAAGTATTCTCTGTATCTCTTTATCTTCAGTCATTAAAGAAAACTTTAAGTTGTAGCAGACCTAGGACATTCCCGTAAGGAATTCTTCAATACATCCTTCTAGTTAGGCTGCAAACCATTCATACAAAGTGGCCTATACCTCTTATTCTGCTATTAACTGGTCACATTACAGTAAATGTATGTAGGCTAAGTGGCTTCAATTTTGTTGTTATTCAGATCCATCCTGCTTGATTTTTAACCTGTTTTTAAAAAGAAAGATGTCCTGTTGCCTGAACAAGAAAATAATGCACATCCATGTGAAATGCTTAAGTAAATAGCCAGGGAAATTTTATTTTTGGAGATGACATAACAAAGGGGGGGAAAAAGAGTCTGAGTCTTGCTGCCAGGTGATCTAGAATCTTAAAATTCCTCTACTATGGAAGGACATTGCATGCCTTGCAAAGTTTGGGGTTTTTCTGTTGAGTAACATTGAGCTACTGTTTTAAAAATTAAAAACTAAACAAGGCTCCTTTCTTCCTGAACTGAATTTTTAAGGCTGGAGAATTGTGTCTGTTGACAGTAGAGTTCTCTTCACAATGGAAGCCAAATAACCTATCATATGTACATGGCTATTTATAACCTTGTTGTTTCCCCCCTGACTTTTTCCCTTTCTCTTTCCTTCCATTATTCCTCTCTGCCCTCTTCCTCCCTCTTCTGTCTCACCACAGGATCTTGGCTTGGCCCAGATTTCTGCCACAAACACAAAGACACCAGTTCCTTTGGGATCCCAAGCACATCAGATCTACAGGATGATGTGTGCAAAAGGCTATGCCCTGAAAGACTTCTCAGCTGTGTTCCAGTTTTTGCGTGAGGAGGAAACCTTGTGAGCTGTCCTTTGGAAATGGACAAACCACATTTTTTTACCCTTACAGCTCATTTGAAAAGTATGTGGGTTTAATCAAATACTGTGCATCCTGATCCCATACAGACTAACCATCTTTTGTTGTCTAGATCACAATGAACTCCAGGGTTTTTTCATAGCTCTTGAAAAAGCAAGCCAGAGGAAGGGATTGTTTGGCAATTAGCCAGATGGTGATTTATTTTTTTTAAGAACCATCAAAGTTTTTTGGCTTTTTTCACTAGATGCAATAAATAAATAATTTTTTTTTATGGAACACTTAACTGTTTGCATATAAAATAACTTACATTATGGCTACAAACTTAGGTGACCTGAATAACAAGAGAATGTTATATAGTGATTTTACGATATATATAGTGATCTATTAAAATTAAAAATGAATACTTTATGGAAAAAGGGAAGATTTATTCAATGAAAAAGCACAGCTTGAGATGGATTTTTTTTTTATTGGACTTACTAGCCTTCGGTTGATCAGCAGTGAATTTTTCTTGGCTTTCAGGTTGTAGATTAAGTTTATAGGCATTGCATTTCTAAGTGGAGAGCTGTTACAGCATGTTTACCTGATAGACTTAGTTAAAATAACATAGAATGTGTATCCCTCTTGTAAAGCTCCATTATTGTATTTTGCTAACCCAATTTTATATTTTCTTGTATTCTGTCACACACTCAGAACTCAAGAACAACACTTAATAGAAGTCCTAACAAAGTGTACATTTGTTTTAGGTAATTACTGAAATATTTTAAATATAAACAAACCCCATTATTTTGAAAAGAAATAAAAATATATACTGGTAAATACTTGCTGTCTCATTATTTACTTTTTGTTTTAATGCACTCTTGTACACACACACACAACCAAAAACTTGTACTAAGTGGTCTTATTTTTTAATTTGCTTGGCTTTCTACAGATTATGTTGCAAAACCAAGCTTTTCAAGAGCTCCTGTTGTGAAATACAGATGGTAATACACTTGCATATGTATTAACGTAACCATTCACCATTGTCTTGGTCTTGCAAAAGTACAAGTACACACTTGGCTTTATGAATATAAATATACATGTTGATTTCACTAGAACTCACGTTCACTCTAACTTGCAGGCTCTAGGCGTAATGGCCGATTATACATGTACATTCCTGTTTTGGTTGTATGATGGATCCTTTTATATATACACGTTTGGGTAACAAAATTGTGTGTTTGAATTAGCTCAAGTCTGTGAATAATCTTCTGAGAACTTGGACATTCTATTTTAACACATTAGTAACATCATCCAAAAGTCATTAAACAGTGCTGATTGATCTGTTCTCCTTTCAGCTTTCTTTGAAAACTGACATTCTAGGTTGTTCAGAGATCTGGGATGCATATGAGTGGAGGACTACTGGGAGCAATCTTACTTTTAAAAAACTGTCCATCTTGCTTTTGATAAAAGTACTATTTCTACAGGATTATGTTCATGTTCCTTGAATTTAGACACAAAACTACCTGCACTAAAAACTATTAAAATTGCAAATTCAACCACTCGAAGTGCTGGAAAACACAGAAACAGGGGATCATAATTGCAGACGTGTGGTTCAACTTTGATAACGAGATCACATTCTATAACATTTTTTTCCTGTGAGACTTCTGACTCACTTAATACAAAGAATGGACCTGATCTTACAATGAATTTGAGGTCATGTAGTGAAGGATGTTTTTGTCAGAAGGATCCTTGTTCATACCAAAGTTTTATAATTGATGAGGTAGGGAATTGTAGTAGAGTCCTGTTCTCTCCTCTGGACTGGAGACTGGAGACTCCTCTGGAGTTTGTCTCCTCTGTGTTTGACTTGGAGATCCAGCTGGCATCAGCAGGACTGCTGAGAGATGCTTCCTTCTCCTGTCCACCCCAGCATGTAGCAATGTTTGCTATGAATGTGTTTGCCAGTAACTCTGGGCTTCCCTATAACCCTGGGCTTTCAGGAAGCATAGTCAGTTGTTTTCTGAAGACATCGTACACACACATAAATGTTGGAAGCCATGAGGAAAGAGAATATGCTCAGTGAAACTCACTCTTTGAAGCTTTTAGCTTCTGAAATCATAAAGTCTATGTTAAGCATGTGGAAACTTCGTTGTTATTTTTATGCTTCTCCCAAAGGCTTGTAGCTTAGGCTTCCTGGGGTTCATTTCTCTTCCCCCACAAACTCTGATCAAATTTTAAATTCCTACTGCAAAGCATAGGGTACTCAAGTTGGAGTAAAGGCTGCCAAAATGCTATCTTGGCAAACCAACAAAATGTTCTGTGGTCTCCTTCTTGGAGGAGGATGTTGGCTGAAATTAAAAACAAAACAACAAAAAAAAAACCAAAAAACCTCAGCTTCAGGGCAGACAGCCAGTATGTAAAATTTTAGAGCAAGCAGTTAGTTTGGCAAAGTTAGAAAAAACTTTTTAAATAAGTCTTGTTATGGAAGGTGCCTTGAAACCTTTAATGATGTCCAATACCTGCACCCAGTAATACAATTTATGTTAGAATACACAATTTTTTCTTAATTCTGCAGGGGAATACTGTGTGACTGGATACATATAATGACGGTGGTGTTCATGCTAGCTATGGCTGTTCTGCATATGCACATGTATATAATGCATCTTTTGCTCTGCATTGGGTATACTTCTGGTCTATGGAAATTAAGCAAGCACTAAAACTATTGTCACTGCCAGAAACAGGTGTTGAAAACAGTAATTTGTTGAGTTGAACAGAAAGATTGTAAAATTGGTTGAATTTCTACACTAATTACCTCCCAGTACATACACACGAATTAGGTACAACAAATTAACTGCATATTTTGTAGATGTCCCAAAGGGAAGCTTGAGGTAACTTCTTTTTAAATTAGCTTGAATGTTAAACTAGGCCTCCCATCATGCTTACTTTGGAAACTCGCCTATATCAAATGCATTTATTGACTAACAGGAAAACATTGACAACCAATAAAAGTAGTGATGGTTTAAAAAAAAATTCCTAAGCAGCTTTCTCTCATTTATGATTCAGTATAACCTGTCTTAAGCAACTATTTTTGGTGGTCATTTAACAGAGGAGGCCTTCTATTAAAACTGCTGAGTACTATATTGCTTTAACTTTATTTATGGCTCTTACAAGCCTCGGGAGGAAGAGGAGGTATTCTGACCAAGTATTATACGTGATATTCTGGCTCAGCTTTAATCAATGGGAATTTTGCCATTAAGTACAGTACTGCCAAGATTTCACAGTGTGTGTTGAACGCCCACGATTCCAGTGCAGATGTGGCCAAGATGTGGCTGTGGAGGAGCTCAAGTGCATCCCTCAAGCAGGGACTGTGCCACATTACTGACATCAGGATTATGAGGAGTTGGGGTGGTGGCTGTGAGAGGATGGAGCCAGCAGGAGCTGCTGGAGTTGATATTCCCTGTCTCCATCCTTGTCCCTGTCTCCTTGTCCCACAGTGAATGAGGTGGACAGAATGTCCCTGCCTGCCTGAGAACAGAGCTACCTGTCTTTTCGGCCATTTAAATCTTACGGCTCTTTGCCACAAGAAGATATTATTAAATAATTTTTTTAATCATGGAGCAAGCAGAGAAGGGCTACCATCATACAAGGGCTACTGTATGCCATGGATGTTTTTCTATGCTTTTAGTCCACCAGCTTGATTTGCAAGACTGAATCTATCCAGGTACAATTCTGAGGATACTCATTTAATTGGTAGTGATAACTGTTGCTTTTGATCTGCCTTTACATCACCATCGATGTCTTCTCCTCCTTCATATAATTCAGCTTTTCTCAAGAGAAGTCAAGAATATTGCCTGTCTTTACAAGGCTGTTGTGGAAACTGTGATGCAGTTTAGAAGCCTGTGTTGTGCTTTCTTGATGCACAACATGTAGAGCTATGGTCCTGTGCAGTATTTTAGTCTTAAGGTTTGATAAGATCCCCTTAAAGTTAGGGACTTTAAAATGGGAAGCTTTTTAACTGAATTCAGTATCAAGTTCTTAGAAGTCTTTCTGCTAGCCTTTCAAAATTGAAAAATTATATTTCAGTAGTGGGAGAAATTTAGTTCAACATCTACAAATTCGAATAAGCGGTGCTTTAGAAAAGCTCGAGCTTTCAATAGCAAGGATGTCCTTGCCATTCTGTGCAACAGCAGAATGGATGTATAGTCTTTAAAGGCTGCCAGTATTTTTAAAATTTCTTGCTTTCCATATATGATTTGTCACAACCTGTCCTGCTGGCTGGCACAGTTATACATTATTTTTTTCCCCAATAACAATAATAGCAACAGTTATGAAGTTTACTTAGGTGGAAAGAGAATGAATATGTTTATGGTTGACGTGTTCAATAGATGTGTGACATGGAACTAGACATCCATATGGCAGTGATTTTTTTTTGGTTTTGGCATTCATCATGGATTGTGAAGCACTTGGGGTAAATTGTGTGAAATTGAAACAGGTGAATAAACCTTTCTAAAGTACTAAATGTCTCATAATAGCTACTGTATAATTAAAAGTTGTCTGGCTCTTTCTGCATTTACACCCATTTCTTCGTTTTGACCTTGACCCTGAGATGATGTCTGGGTTTTCATTTGAGGTCAGAGATAACTCTGTTTCTTCATTTAGTTTTACTGAGCCTCCATTCATGGTGACAGTGTTCTGCTTGTTAAAGCAAATGATATATGTGGAGATAATAAATGTACTAACATATGCTTTATGAAGTTTATGATTTCAAAGATTTGGCGCCCTGGACAAAAACAACTGAAAGGCAACTGATAAAAAGATAAGTTTGCATGTACCTGAAATGCAGCTACTCTGAAAAGAAATGCAAATATTGTTACAATATGTTTCAGTCCTTACAGTATTTTTAGAAAAGAAAGAAATCGTGTTTTCTCCTATTGAAATTCAAAAGAGAAACCAGACAAGTAAAACAAAAGTAATAGCCTTCAAATGTGGTCAAACATAAGATTTATTTGGCCAGAATCAACTTTTGCTGCTGTCTGTCTTCCAGTTTGAGCTGCATGATGAAACTAGCTTGGATTTATGCAGGCACCAGCAGCTGTAGGGAGAAGCAAGTGATGTGGAAAGTAACTTAAAGAATACTTCTTACAATCTCTGAGCTGCGTGCTTTGTTCTGACTGCTTTCTTCCAAATGATTTAAGGGTGTCACCTGGGCTGTAATCACTGTCTGCAAGCATACCTGAGCCAGCTGTAAGCTTGCTTGTTTGCATATCTGCAGCTCTCTGGTCCCAGTAAACACTGGGGCAGTAGTGCTGTGTAGACAGGCTACCTAAACTGGCCAGTTTGTGGCTAGCAGGCCATTTTTGCTTTCTAGTCATGTTATTCCATGGCTACAGAGCCTGGAAGCTTTCAATGAGCAATATGGGCTAGTGCATTGGATGTTGTAGCTGTTATCTGTTTTACAGCATCATCTTGGCAGTCTGTGCCCTTTTTTTCTCCCTTTGTTTGTACGATGCCTAGGACAAGTCTCTTTGGTGTTGTGTAGTTGTGTCAGGCAGCAGTCAGTCTGCAGTCCACAAAAAAGACTTAACATTGATTGCTCACTGCTGATTGAAGCCAGAGTGTCAGACCCATGGATTTAATACATGCTTGGATTCTTCTGCATTTCTACATACAAGGTTTTCATACAAGCTCCACCTTGTTTGAACCTGTACCCACAGTATGTCAGTTGTTTCTTTGTGCCTTAGACTGTAGTATTGCTACATGTACTGTTCATGCTCAAAACCAGCCAATTTCTGGTCTCTGTGAGAAGGGGAGAAAAACACTACTAAGCAAGTGGAGATCAGTAGA